TCATTAACTTGTGGAATTAAATTTTGGATGTCCTAATCTATGATGCCATAAATTAGATGAATCAATAATACAAGTAGATGATGACATTTTATTCTTTAAAATATTCGGTACGATAGTGAGGACATTCATCTCAAATACTCCATAGCCTTTGCCTACATACATGTTAGTCTTGATAGGTACAAACTTATCAAATGCAAAGACTAGTTTGAAGTAATATTATTAAAATCAAACCGGATTGACCGATTTAATCGAGAAAGCAGGGAACTGGTCCAAAATTCGATTAAATCTTCAATTCGATTTAAGCTTAAAATCCACTTAATTTAAAACCGACAAAAGATCGGTCAATTGGCCAATTTATCCACTAACCGAAGGACTCGAAACCGATATCTCCGGTTGGTCGGATGTTTAAAATAAATGAATTCACTAACTTTTAGCCCATTTAGTCTAAAGGTCTGAATAGGATATTTACCCAACTATTAACCCACCATTTATTGACTGAATTTCCAATTGTTTTCTTGTGAGAAATATATATGGGATAAGAAACAATGAAAAAGCAACGCCTGTTCTTTAATTACAACACTCTCCTTCATCCTCCATCCACTTATAAACTATATTTGCAGTGCCCTTCTTGAGAGAAATCGATGTGGGATAAGAAACATTGAAAAAACAACCCATTTGTTATTTAATTATAACTCTCTTACTCATCCACTGATTTTTATTATTTATTTTATTGAGTTAATTAATTATATTTATATTTTAATTAATAAAAAATTAGAAACTCTTCGAATATTTCGATCAACAATATGACACTAATATCAAGTATGTTTATTGTTTGAAAATATATTTATTTATCTTTTTTTAAAATATTCGGTTCGATCCTAGGTCGATCCTTTACCCTAGACCCTTTTGCTTTATTGGGTCAATGTCCAATCCGGGTTTTATAACATTGGTTTGAAGCCATTCTTGCTAAGTAAAGAACTAGAAACTAAGTTCTTGCGAATGTCTGACACATGAAGCACATGTTTAAGGTTGAGCTCTTTACTTGATGTTATCTTAAGTAGGGGTGTAAGCTGTCCGATTTGACCGATTTTTAACAAATTTTCAAATCAAATCGTTTAAACCAGTTTGAGAAAAACCCAAACCTAAACCAAACCATTTTGAACGGTTTGAAAAAAAACTCAAACCTAAACCTAACGTTTGGTCCGGTTTTAAACCGTAGATTTCACTGTATATTTTTTTGTCTGTCTACTTTTATGACATTAATTAATTGAATTCAATATATATTTATATCTTACTAGCTATAAATTTAAAACAATTTAAGCCCTTGTTTGAACCAAATTTTTGGGACAAAAAAAATGAACATTTAGACCATTATCCCACAAGTCTAACTGCATTTGTTGATCTGTTATTTCATGCATGGGACCCAACCTCCTCTCCAACGATCAATTTTCTCATTATGATAATATGAAAAATATGGCTCGAACAGGGGCTAAATATATCTACTATAAATTTAAATATCTACTAAATCAAAGTGAAATCACAATAAACTAAAACATAATTTTTTTTTTCATTTTTATTCACCTTTTTTATGCTAATTACTTTATGATAATGTTACAATTCAAGTCTACTTAATGAGATATAAGGTCCAAAAAATATAGTGATATCCAACAAGATCTCGTGATCATCATATCTGAAAAAATGTTACTGATTAAACAAAGAATAACCAACCACAATAATAAAGCAGTTACTTATAATATCTAAACATAACAATTACACAAGCTTACGTTTGTATGTTACGAAACGCGTTTAGTTTTAGATTCTTATCTCGATTTGCTCAAAAAAATTATTGATTTGAAACTTTATTTGTAGTAAATATTATCACCAAAGGCCTAGGATCTCTTTGTCTCCGATTTGATGTAATAAACTATAATTTAACTTTGAAGAGGCGTAAAAAATCTGAAGAAAAAGTTTGTGTGGTGTCGGTGGCTGAAAACTGTGTCGGGTGTCGGCTGTAGTTTATCTGAATTCTGAAGAGGAAAATAGCTTTTGATAGATTATCTTAATTTTGAGATTATTAAATATAAATTAGGATTATTAGATAATAATAATATATATGTATTCGAAAATTAGAAATTGACAAAAATACCCACAAATGACAAAACCATTGAATTTTACATATTTGGATGAATTTTCAAAAAAAATCATTTTTTATTTTTTTATTTTTATATATGTTTTGCGGGTCCGGTTTGGTTTTAAACCGCAATTAAAATTCTCAAACCTAAACCAAACCATTTTGATCAGTTTGGTTTGGTTCAAAACTATTTCGTTGACTGGGTTCACGTGGTACCAAACCGATGGTTTCTAAAATGCGGCTTCAATTCGGTTCGGTTTTCCGATTTTACAATTTTTGCTTACAGCCCTAATCTTCGATACCACTTTGCCTTGTCCTTCAACTTTCAAACTTGAAGAGATTCTCATGAACAATTTGTCACCATTTATTGGAGTATAAGATAAGAACATTGTCTTATAAGCACAAATGTGACGAATAACACTCATTGTCTTATTTGATAGTAATTCCAATTTTGTTGCATTCTGAAGCAACAACCGACAAGTTGATATTTGATGTTCCATCAGATAATGCATCCGATTTGGTGACATTTGTTTGGGCTTGCTTTCTTGGTTTATGACATTCATTTGAGCAATGTCCAATTTTTACAAAATGTAAAATTGCCTTTGAACTTTTTTGCATTCTTATTGTTTCCTTACTTTCCCGAAATACTTCCTCTTTTTGTTTTTTGTATGGGTTTCTACCACATTTGTCTTTGCTTGTGGTATTTGCTTCCAATCTGTTTGTCTGGCTTTCTGTTGTCTTCTTCAGTTCTCAACCTTTTTGACTATGGATTCTTCAATGTTCATCTCCTTGCACTTGTGCTTGAGATAATTTTTAAGTCCTACATCCGTGAAAGTTTCTCGATAATTCCAGCTACTTAAAAGGTTTCACTTAGAGACATGTTTTCAGCGTGAATGTCATGAAGAGAACCTATAATTCTTGTATTTGACTAATTATTGTTTCGGAATTTATCATCTTGTTGTCTAAGAATCTTTTTACAATGAACTTCTTTATTCCAGCATCTTTAGTCTTCTGTTTTTTCTCCTTGAATTCCCATAATTCCATAGTGGACTTCATGGCACTATAACATTGTACAGTGAGTGGTCCAAACCATTCAGTATGTAATTCTTATATAATACGTCTGAATGTTTCCATGCATCCAATGTGATCAACGATGTCCTATTGTTTTCCTCTTCTTGTACGGTAAGAATATTCTCATTTGGAAACTTTGTCAAGTTAAAGGATTGTTCTTTTGAAATCAATCCTACTAAACTGTTTTGGTTTCTCTCTATGTGGAACGGAGGTTAGATGGACTGTAGTAGGGACAACCGTAACCTGAGGAGCAACAACCAAAGTAACATCAGTAGCATCATTAAAGGTAGTCATTTCTGCTACAAAAACATAAGATAAATCAATCCAAGTTTTCAACAAGATAAAGAAGAGTCGAAAAAGTTAAACCAATAAAGAAAGAAGAAAATCCATAGAAATCATATTTCTAAATCGCCCTTAAGACCCTTCTACGGATTTCAATTTAACCGAGTAAAACAAAAAATTAAATAAAGAATCACTAAAAAATCGTCTTAAGATTGTTACCAAAATATTGATGAATTGATTTCTTTGTTGCAGAAAATAAATGATAAGCAAACTTACCCAAAAATTGGATACAAACTTAAACAAACATAAAAAACAGAAAATAAAATGCAAGAAGATCGAGGAAAGAGTTGAACTTTTTGTCCTTAAAACGAATTTATCCCGTACATGTGCCGATGATGGATAGGCAATCGTTTCCTAAAATACTACGATCACTACTTGTGATAACGGCACTTCAAATCACAAGAAACAACGAATCGAATGAAGTTTTGTACTCCTTTTGTATACAAAAATAAACAAACTTTGATGCAGAATTTTTGCAAGAATATGATATTTAATGTATGCTATAATTGAAGTGAATGAAATCAACATAGGGGGTCAATTTAAAGAAGTTGAATTGTTTTCACCCGAAAGACACAATCCAAAAATCAACTTATTCAAAAAAGTTGCACCAATTCATTGATCTAGAGCAGTTTTTTCAGTGGCTTGACCACCTGCTGCGCCCGAGACGTCCACTCGTGAGGTCAATAGGATTTTTTATTTTTCCATTTAATTAATTCAAAATCTTTGTTTTATCAACCCTACTTCATTCACTGATTTCTCATTCATCCAGAAATAGTTTTTGACTTCCAATATACCAAACTCATCTACCGGAGGAGTAGAATGTGTTCGACGTATTTTTTGCTAAATTCAAGTAGCGAGATTCATCCAAATATTTGGTCAAAGATTGGTAAAAATAATCTTATTATTTATTATTTTCCAACAATATTTTTTATTATTTATGCACAAGTTGAATTGAATTCACAGATAAAAAAAAAAATAATATTCATAAATTTGGTCTACTTTCGGAAGGTAGGAAGTTATAGCTCCGTCAAATCCTAACTTTCATTTGCACAAGTTTAGATTAAATTTCGATTTTTTAATTGTTACCAAAATTGAAATAATTGACTAATCAATGTCATTGAGAAATTTGTAAAAGCAGATAGGTTTCATACTGATTTGGACTTGCTGTCTCGTTTCAATTTAATATTTGATATTTATACGCATTATCTCTTAGCAAATTAAAAGAAGTCAAGTTATAATGTGTCGAAATGTCAAAAAATATCTTGATATATTCTCATTTGTTAAGAAAAGAGAATGTATCAATGTGTCACAGATGTGTCGAGAACAATAAATTTGGGGGCCAAGATTATAGAATACAATACAAGGGAGTTAAATTTTGTAAGAGATATACTACAAGTAAATCTTAAATGGGCGAAGCGGTAACACGATAAATTATTAAATTAAAGAATTTAATTGCTAAAAAAGGAAAGATAAATATATTTCACGTTCAACCACCACTCTTAAATATGCTTAAATTTGAGAATTAAGACATTTCATTATTCAATCAATACATACTGCTGCATTATTTGTTTTTCATCAAGAAATAACAAAATTTGCCGTGGAGATTTATTTTTTTCTTGATGTGAGACAATTATTGATTACACAAGGAAAATTAATGAAATGCCCTGAAGAAAATAAGGTTGTTCACGGCGAACCATTCCGAGACTGAGTGACAATTGGAGAGGCACAGCAACGACAGCAGGAGCCTGGCGGTGGAGGTTCGCAGCATACACAAGCCGGGCATATGGGCCGGGTTGCAAGAACTTCTGCTCCACAAACATGAAATCAATGTCAATTATCATGATGTATATACCCGCAGGTAGAACGTTTTATCATAATACAAGGTGTAAAGCGAGTTGACACATCTCATGTTTTGCTGGCCTATGCATAGCCTGGAAAATTTTACATCAAATGCGTTGCAAAGAGGTGTAAAAGTGTTTTCGAGTAGTGATCTCAGGTGGTCTCTGAATTTTTATGAGTTGGGTTAAAATACAAAGTCAGGTTGTGATCGGTCATTTACACCCTAATTATAATTCTGATTTATATATGCAGGGGAGATTACGAGATATACTACATAAATAGAATGAGACAAATGCAACACATAGATGTCAAAACTTATTTAGCACAAAATAACTAAAATCGACGTACAAAAATTACCTTGAAAAGTGGTATATCGAGCAGCATCACTTGTTGGAAACATTGGAGTTAAGACCACCAAGGTGAAGAGAAATATTGTAAGGATGTTGAAGATGGGACTTGAAGTGTTAATTGCCATGGCTCTAGAGAAAACCGAGTGAATTTTCAAGGCATTAGGTGTTTGGGTATTTATATATGTGTGGTGTGGAAGTGATTTTGTGTGAACAGCCAGAATTCATTCACAATAATGGCAGGGCTACCAAGTAGATGTTTTTCATTGAATGTTGAAGTTTGAACCTAAAGGGTTGACTTTCCATGTTCACAATAATGGCAGGGCTACCAAGTAGATGTTTTTCATTGAATGTTGAAGTTTGAACCTAAAGGGTTGACTTTCCATGCTTAATTAATTAATGGCAATTTGTTTGCTTTTGATATTCCTATAGTTTTTCTTGACTTGACTTATCTTTAGAATAATACTATATAGCTCTATTGGGGTTAAAACACCAGTTTATATGACGTTAGATGATAGGATGAATAAAATGCAAAATTAAATGATTTATTTAATTTTACCAATCATTTAATGCCATGTTAACGTTATCTAGACTGGGGATGTAATTTCAGTGGGACTGAATATCATTACTTTTATCTTTAAGGATTAACAATTACATTAACAATAACTAATTACACTTTATTAGTAATAAATGCAGGTGCGACTACATAATTGTTTACCATCCCTTCTTGTTAAGGGAAAAAAAAAATCAACAGTAGTATTGTGACATTAATTAACCTTTTTTAATCTTTAATTCTAATAATTAGAACACTCTAATGTATTCTATGAATTGCAATTTAGGTGAAATTTAAATAGAAAAATTTAGACTACGATTGGTTTGTTATTTTGAGGTCATTTTCAATTTTCAGTTTTCTAAATCATTCAAAACATGTTTGACATGCTATTTTCAAAATATATTTTTAAAAACAAGGAAAATCTCACAAATTAAAACATTCAAAGTGACTTTTTGACGTTTTGAGTGTTTTCCTTGGAAAAAACGCCAAAAAAACTCAAAAAGGAAAATGAATTTAAAATTTTCCAAATTAAAATAAATTTTTAAAATCACACAAAATTTACCCAAATACACATATCCCTCTCTCTCTCTCTCTCTCTTCCCCCACTCTTTCTCTTCCCATGCTCCTCCAAAATGTCATAAAATTATTTCTAAAATTTTTAAACTAAATGCGTTTCCTAGTTTTTTGTTTTGAGAAATAGTTTTTCAGAATAACGAATCAAACACTTTTTTTGCAACCTTACATTAATTCCTCAAAATAAAAAAAATGAATTCAAAACTGAAAATAGAAAACAGAAACGCAAACCAATCGCAATCTTAAGTTCTATGTTACAACTTACAATTTTGTCTATGAATAGATGGTCTAGTTCAAATTTTATATCCAATGAATTTAGTCTATCATTCAAGTTTCATCCCTAATGTATATATAATAGGAGAAACAAACATAATTAATTGAAAAGATAAAAAATAAGAAAAAAAGAGAAAAGCGTTAAAATTCAAAGCTCAAATAAGGGCTTTTCTTGTAAACACCACGTTAAGGAATTGTTATAAACAAAATATTAAACATAATGCAGCCAATGGAAAGTTGGAGAAAGGAAAATTGCGCTTGTATTACATTAGTTTAGCAAAGAAAGATGGCGATACACAACAGTGTAGAAAGAGAAAATTAAAGGTAATAGATTATGTTCAGTGTTTTAGCTTCGAATAGAACGAAGTTGAGACGATGACTGAAGTCTAATAATAGATGTTTTGATTGGTTAATCGATTCTCCTTCTATTCTTGTCTGTGATTTGTTGAACCATGTTAAATTTGTATCTGCTGTATATCTATGTAACACTTATTTTTTATTTTCATTTTTCATTATGTTTTTGTTGCACGTTTGAGTGATTTCTTATAATGCTATTCATTATCCCTCCTTACTCATAAGTAGTGATGTGACATTTAAATGACTTTAATAGATTTGTTCTCTTAAGAACATTTTCAATTCTAATTTGGATTGCGCTAAAAATTTGGCTCATAAGCTAAAAGAACAAACCTGCAAATTTTATTTTCATTTTTCATTATGTTTTTGTTGCACGTTTGAGTGATTTCTTATAATGCTATTCATTATCCCTCCTTACTCATAAGTAGTGATGTGACATTTAAATGACTTTAATAGATTTGTTCTCTTAAGAACATTTTCAATTCTAATTTGGATTGCGCTAAAAATTTGGCTCATAAGCTAAAAGAACAAGCCTGCAAAAGTTTACGTTCAATGCAATATGTCTAGTACCATGTACAGTTAACATGGTAAGTAAAAGTGGACATTGTCAAAGAAGATCGTCTAGACATAGGGACTCTATCAGACGAATTGAGTCATTATAATACTCCTCCATCCCATAGAGATAGGTTTGCTTTTATTTTTTATTTGTCCAGAATTATATGCCACTTGTTGAAATTATAGATGATTTTTTAGTTTCTAATATATTTCGATTTATTGTGTCGTGTTATCAACAAATATGAACTATTCTATTTAGATTATTATCTAATGTAAGGGAATATTAGAAAAATTTATATTTCTAGCTATATTAAATACATTAAAATAAAAATATATACGGAATTTGATGGAGATAGAATCTAAACTAGACCATATATTCATTAGACATAATGTCACGTAGATATTAAGTCTTTCTATTTAGATTCTACCTAAATTGTAATTCATTAAATGCATTGGAGATACTCTAATTATTGGGGTTTATAATGAAAAATCAATTAATATCACATTACTATTGATTGTAAGAACATCTTTAAAATACTATCTATTTTTAAAGAACAAATTATATCATTAGAAGAGCATCTATAAATTTAGAAAGTTAAAATTTTGAAGTACTCCAACAAACTCTTTATATTTAAAACTGAATTTTATTACTTTCAAAAAATATTTATTATTTTCTCTATCTTATACTTTAACTAGCTTTTCTCTATATTGTTTTATTAATTTTTTACGTTAAAAATTGAAACACTTTGAATGCATCTTTTAAATTAAAATGTTAATTTAAAGAGCCTATTGTAGCATGATTTTAAAGATTGATTCTTTAAGATAGAGAGCAACTCATGTTTAAAGAATATCTTGAACATGCTCTAAGCACCACTTGTGAAGAGCAATGCTCCTTTTAACAAGGGTAAGTAAACAATAATTTAGCCAGCCTTGCATTTACTAAAAATAAAGTGTAATTAGTTAGGGTTGACATAATCACTTCCCCCAAGTAGTGGCAGCCCTAATTATAGGCGAGGTAGGCGATCCCCTAAGACCCTGCTTTGGTGAGGGCTCCAATTTATGTAAAGTTAATTTATTAGTTGAAGAAAAATGAAAAGTATATTTATAAAATAGAATTATCATATACAAACACAAAAAACTAATAAAAAATGAAAATAGAAAAATATTTAAAAAATATATAAATGGCAAAAAAACTTATCACTTATATTTATTTATCACATAAATATATCACAAACATACTTCTCTCTCTATAACTAATTTGATCATTTATCTTCCAAATATTCCCATTCTTTTCTTAGCTAAACGAAACGTTTCTTTGTTTCTTCAAATTCCATGTCCTACAATAACCCACCATTATTTTTTCTACATGTCCTACAGTCACCCACCATTATTTTTTCTACCCAATAAGAAATAAGTTATCTCCCTTTGAATTAAATTTTTGAAGATTCAATTCAGTAGATTGTTTTTATCTCACTGTCATTCTTTCTTTCTGTGTTATCATATTGTTTTATTTTAATCTTTTGATAATAGTCTTTTTAAATGTTTGCTGAAGATACTTTGAATTTAATAATTCTTTGTTGTGTTCATACAAATACTTCTTATTTGTAAATTAATTTCTTATGAATTAATATAAAATTAGAAGCTCATTTTTTATTTGATTGTTTTTTTTATTATTTTACTACACTATCTCTTCCAGTCACCATTCTCTAATTTTGTACATAAATCCATCAAATGTATATCAATTTTGTTTGAAATAGTTGCACTGAGAAAATGATCATGGAAATGAAGAAACCCATATGTCATTGTATTATAATTATGTTTTTCAAACTTCACTTATAATTTGTATTACATGTTGAAATTTGACAATTTGTTATTTTTCTTTTCAAATTTTAGGATTTAGTTGCCTATATTGATTTTTTATAATTATATCAGAACTCTAAAAAAAAGGTTCAAAATGTAGGAGCTCCTTATTTTAAATTGGCATAAAGCTCCCAAAATATCAAGGACGGCCTGACCCAAAGGTAAGTCAAGTCAAGATAATCGAGTTATCAAATAAAAACGAGAGAAATATCAAAAGCAAACAACTTGACATTACATAATTAATAAAAGCATGAAAATTCAACCCATAAAGTTCAAATTTCAACATTCAAACAAAAACAACTAGGTTGCACGGCAATGCATGTGAATGAATTATGGATGTTGATACAAAATATCCGACCTCGAATTTTGGAGACTTTAGCCAACTTAAAAAATGGGATCCCTATAAATATTTTTAAAATCTACAATAATAATAAAAATTATTAACTAAAAATATTCAAAGTTCAAAAAAATAATAAATTCAATCTCTTAAATAATGTTATATCATGAGTCTACATCTCTTAATCTATTTGTTTTTCTTTATCTAGCCAATTAGCCTTGCATATTTATAGTTAATTAGCTGCATCAAAGAAGATAAAACGTTGAGTTATCATCCAATAATAATAATAATCAAATAAAGAAAATATGAAGAAATATTTGCGAACAATGTACTAGTCTGGAAAATAGAGAGAGAAGTCAAAGCATCATTATAAAAGAAAAAAATGAGACAGAGTTGTAACAATGGAAAAATCTGACCAATTTTATTATATATATATATATATATATAAGATACGATGATTAAGAGATCATTTATATATATATATAAAAAAAAATGAGACAGAGATGTAACAATGGGAAAATCTGACCAATATTACTGTCAAAGACGGTAAATGGAAGCTAGAGAATTATAGATGGTTGAATAAGTAATTAAGGAGAGCAGTGCTGGGCGTACAACCCAGCACATTACAGAACTCTTACAGAGTTGTCACAAACGGGTGAGATCGAGATTTTTTTCTTCATTTTTTATTACATCGGGACCCATGTGGGACCGACCCCATGTGAGGGGTCAGTAAGCCCTCTATAAGCAAAGCTCTATGAGAGCTTTGCTGAATTAAGGATGACCAAACAAGCACAGAACAGAATTGAAATGAAGACTAAAATATTAGCACTTAACAGATTTATGTCTAATCCAAGACCTAACTGTTGGGAAGTCTTGAAGTAGTTGTTTAGATATTTGAAAGGGTCAAGTGATATAAGATAGTGTTTAGGTCTATTACTGAATGTGGGGGATTGAAATGGTTCGTAGATATGAACTATATCGGGATAGAGATAATAAAAAGTCTACTTTATCCGATGTGTTAATTTGTGTAAGTTGAAAATAGCAACCTCAACATAGTTACATTGTCTACTACTGAGTTCTGAGTACATTGTTACCACTGAAGTAATTAAAGAATCTTTATGGCTTTAATATTTGCTTCCAGAATTGAGTATTTAAATGATGAGGTGATCATGTATTCAAATAATTAATCCATACTACGCTCATCCAAGAATGCGGTGTTTCACCAGCGTACTAAACACAGACACCCAATTTCGCGATAGATATTATGCACAAAGTATAGTTAAACTTGAGAAAGTTCTTTCACAAAATAATCCGCCGGACGTGGGCACCAAGGTATTTCCCATAGTAGAGTTCAAAGATTTCTAGTTCTTTTGACCATTGGTATACTTTGATAAGTTCCAACTTTGTTGACTTTTTTATTTGTTAGATGTTGAGATTTTTGCTCGTAGGTGAAAATACAAGCGAAAGAACAGGGACAAGCGAAAGAACAGGGACAAGCGTAATCTTCATGTAAATAAGATTTTTGACATCAAGATAGCGATCTGTTGGGCACATGTTGCCAAACAACTTTAGGTCGATGATTAATTAAATAATCATCATTATCTAAAATAACCAATGACCCAGCTCGGGAAATGGAATTGTCTCGAGGGTTTAATACTTTTATGAAGTGTTGCTATGAGAAATGGAATAAATTTGTGCTGACTTAAATTAATGAATCTATTCAAATTTCAAAAAATAAAAAACAAATGTACACATCGATATTTATCTGTGCGACGTTCCACCAAGTATTAAAATTGACCCAATATTTTGTTGAGCATTTAAGTTTGAATCAGACATGATTAAAGACACATTATTTATTTCAATTATTTTATATCTAACAGACATACAAGCATAATCTATAAAACAAGGGAAGGGACATTATTCGATTCACTAGTGAACATATGCTACAAGGCTATTTTCATATAGCTAAGAAACTTCATCTCAAGACTCCCTCGGGCTCTCGAGCTCTTCACAAAAACTCGTTAAAAAAACGCAACAATAAACTGCTCACCATCTTAGCTTCGAAGGGAAATACTGCAAAAATAAACATATAATCAAAGATCAAATACAAACACAATCAATCCACTCGTCGGACATGAAATCGGACTTTATTGACATTCAACGTGCGACGAGTAAATTTAATAATTTAACCCTTACCTTTTCAATGAGAGAGAGATAATATGGCTTGACCTTTTCAACATCAATTCTAACCTTGCTCTTGCTGTATAAATCATACTTGCTGCACGAAATGATTAAGAGGGGAAAAAAAAAATGAGGCCCTTGAATATTTATTGTATCCACTAAAGATTTTCGGGTTTTTGAATGCTAAATAATGGCTCTCTATTGACAAGAATGATCTTACTTGAAAATCTGTACCCACTTCAGATTCTCCTCGTCTTCCTCGTTCATTAAGTGTTTGTAAGCTCCCGACCGATGCAAAGCTGCGAAAATTTAGTAATTCCATCAACACAAACTTGTCGTCTGATTGTGCTAAATCACGGGATTTGAATTTGACATGCATTATATCGTGCCTTGTATTGTACTTACCATAAAATGAATGGTATCTGATTATAAAAAGACCGGCAGAAGGTAAGGTTGATTTATTTTCCTTGGCCACCTGGAAAACAGTGATGATATTATAAAGAAACTCAATTTCGATTTTCTTACTCTGATTTTATTAGCAAGATTCATGAAAGTCATTTGTTGTGAATAATTCACTTTAAGGATTTGAAAAAGTACCAAATACATATAGTCATCGTGACCCCAAGACATCATCACATTGTCGAGTCCACAACGTTCCCTATAAACTCCATATTTAGTATTGTAAGCAGGATTCTGGTAATCGGGATTTTCCTTGAAGTACTGCAGTAATAATCCGAAAGTAAATTTCAGAATTCTGAACAAGTACGATAAAAATTTTAGGGGTACATAGTAGTGTGACATAATTCAAGAATTATTATAATTTCGTAAAATTTTAAGGAGAAAGACCTCGTGGTGAACGATTGATTCGTCAAAAGCACATCCGAGAGGGTAAGTGTCACCTGCAACACAAAATCACATTAATCTTCAGCAGCTAAAGTTACAAGGAAAAATGTGTTAGGTACTAGTTGCATTCAATTGCTTAGCCAAGGCAACCCCCTTAAATTTTCTTCAAATATGTGTAGAAAGTTTGAAATTTTTTTCGATATATACAAATTACATTAACGTTTTTGACCCTTCAACATTTATTCTGCTTCCCATCTGAAAATTTTGGCTCCGCCACATGCATTTGATTATTGCAATTGTAGTGCTTACCAACAACAGCCCACTGAGGGAGCTCACCAAAGATGGGAAGAAGAAGAACCTTTCCGAGATCTAGAACAACACAAGCCGACATAAAATTAGCATTTATTCTACCAAATATCGTGAAATTCGACAATGTTTTCATCGAAAAGGGCGAAGGATACCATGGACGAGGGCAGTCAAGTGCAGCCAATCTTCATTAGGAAAGTCCTTCCTAATGGCTTCGGCAGCCTGTAACAAGTGCTCAATTTGAGGCTCGTCCAAATCGGGATCACTCTCATCAACAACGTCGTTCAGAAGTTCACAACATTCCCATATGCTCATTTCAACCCGGTCCATTTTTCTATACTCCTCTCTCATCTTCTTCACCTGCAACAACGATATCAACCTGAATTTTCAAGATCAACCATATGAATCTTTCGGCAACAATATTCAGTTCATCGCTAACTAAATTCTTAACAACTATTATTATGTTGTAGCCACAACAAAGCCAAAAAAGAGAGAAAAATAAAAATAATGGCTTCTTAAAACTTAAAGTTACTTACAAAATCATATGTCTGGTTGATGTGATTTATCTTGTAGAAATTTTCCACACCACCTTGCCTTTCACTTTCGGCTTCATAATCTCTGTTTTACACAAAATTACCATTTTGGTTAAAAAAATAATAATAAATAAATAATATATAATAATCATCAATTAATTGGTGAATCATTAAATTCATGAAATCTATCATTAACTTATTCATCAATGATGTGTCATATCACCGTGCTTGATATAAACTAAACACCGGTGTTTAGAAAATTATTTCTCTATATATATAAACCTAAGTAATGTCTCTGATCTGTCTACAACCTCAAGTAAAAATAATTGAATCATTATGCAAAAACAAACATAATTAAAAAAATATTTAGAGTGTGTTTGATTGACATAGAAAATTTCACCTAGAAAAGAAAATATTTTTCATCTTTTGTGGAAAATAAAAATCACCGCTACCCAAGGAAAAGTCACAGTAAAATTATTAACTTGTCGCCAGGTTCTTAATTATTACCAATCTGGTGTCCAAATTTCAATTCACAAGATATTGGTCAACAACCTGATTATGTCATAAATTAATTAATCAATATTTATTAACAACACGCTGTAGTTAAATGGAAAAATAATATTAACTATAAAATTCACTGTAAATGATGATTGAAAACAGAAGAATGACCTAAAATTCTGGCCAAATGTATTGGCAGTGGGCATTATAAATCCTCCATCAAACTCCGACTCCTCCTCATTATTAAGAACCCTTTTTTCTTCCACTTCAATTCCTGTTTTTCCCAAAATCACAACAAATTATATTATTACAAAAATTTGGTTATTATAAACAAATAACTGCTGTAATAATTTAACAAAATCACCGAAATTAAATAAAATAGCAGTAAAATTATAGTAAATAGTAAATAATAAAAACATTCAAGATCTGAATTGAATTAAAAAAAAATAAAAAAAAATAGGAAAGTATTAATAAATCCAGTAATCTATAGATTTTATTTCAAAAACGTTGAAAAAATATACAGATCTGAAGTGATTAGAGAATAATATCTATAAACTTTGTTTCAAAAGCGTTCGAGAAAATATAAATCGAAAAATATAATAATTCAAAAAAAATATTGATAAAACTAAAAAATACTCAAAAAAATCGAGAAATAATTTACCAAATTGAAGCTGATCGATGACGAGAGTCATCGTTAATCTCTTTAATATAACGAAATAGCGAAAATTTAAATTTTGGAGAGCGAAAAATATAAATTGGTGGTGACATATTGGGTTTAGAAAAAGGGCAAAATTTATAACTGCCGGCGAGTCCTTCCCTGAGAATTCGGAGAGAAGAAGTCCTTCCCTGAAATTCTAAACTCTTTTTGGATTCTAATATATTTTATTGATTTAGAGAGAGAAGAAATTGAATAGCTGTAAACACGAGAATGATTTTGTTGAGTTACTGATTTGCTGTCTATTTCCGATGCGATATTCCCCTCTGGTGGGACCCATTCTGACTCAGTTTTGCGTTGGATTTTATTTTCCTTTTCAGTTACGGGCTTTTAAATGGGTCCCACTTACACTCAATGTTAAGCAATTAGCTGACTTTTTTCCTTTTTCTTTTTAATTTGTTTCGGTTAGAAATTTCGTGGCCGCGGGATTCTTGAAACTCACTCGTAAGCATCCGTTTGGCACGAAATTTACAAGTGTAATATAGCCTATGTTTGATCATCATTCAAATAATTTTTTTTTTTTTCAAACACATTTTGAATCAAACATTTTTATAATTAAGGGGGTGTCTAGGAGCGCTTTCAATCACTTTTTTTTATGGAATTTGATCATTACTCAAGGTTAATGAGCCCTACATTTGCAAGAATTTTGGCAAAAAAAGGGGAACAAAAGCTATTGCCGTCATTCACCTCCTCTTTGAAATGTCAAAATTATTCTTGTGATGGTTGTATGGAATTTAAAAAGTAGAGGGATAACATGGTCTTTTCAATATAATTTATAATTGATCGGTTGGTGCAATCAGCAATTGCTGCAACCATGTGGGCCTCCTTTCCTGTAGATAACGGATGAAATTCTGATTATAATTTGGAAATAAGCGCTCCCAGACACCCCTATATATTTTATACGTAAATTCAAGTTTTTTTCCTACTTTTCAATTACACATTCTTAAAAAAATTCTAAAACTCATTTTTGCTAGCCGGGACTAAGTAAATTATACTAGGGATCATTCCTATTAATGCAAATAATCATAACTATTAATTTAAACTAATTTAACTGTCTATTAAGTGAATGGAAACGGGCTTGATTGTTTATTGATTAAGCAATGAAAACAATACAAGTTAAATTATAGAAACATCTCCTAAGGTTCCCGACAATTTCAGAGATACCCCGACTCTCTTCAAAAGACATAAACTTCTCTCATTTCAAATTTTTAATACTGCACATTTCATTTGATTACATTTCTTTCACATTTTAGTATAAGAATATTCGTAACATTTATAATACCCTTTATAAAATAGGAACAGATAACAGGATGGTTCAAACGATCATTACCATCACCACCTTGTCAAGCATTTTCGGGGATGAGAACGGAAAAAAAAATTAAAAAATCATCATTTATTGCACCATCACTTTTCTGCAAGTTATATATTCACTTATGCAACTTTCTTGATTGTCTCTACATCAAGCAAATTTGACTAAGTTTTTAATCTACTGTATTCGAAATAATCTCATTTCTATTGCTTTTTATTTATTTAAATTCTATAACTATAAAATATAAAGCTTCAAGGCTTCCCCCAATACAATGCAATGCAGGATTGTAACGAGCAATATTTCATCAATTTATAAACTTTATTCCATGTTTTATCTCTTTTAATAATGCTAGTTTTATGCCCGTGTGCAATGCACGAGTTGTCATTTTCTGAAAGTAATGTTAGTACGTTAAGTATTATGGATTTACGAAAGAAATGTGTGTTAAATGAGTTTCTGAAAACCAAAGATAGTATTTAATTGATATACAAGATAGTCGGACAAAATACAATCAAGAAACAAGAGCTAAGTGTATGAAGAAACATTACAAAATATGTTAGCATTTTCAGGGGTCTAGTTGTACCCAAATATGGTGGAGGAAACAATGACTTCATGGAATTGTTCCAATTCCTTCAGATCGGCCTCATGACTATCAAACTCGGTACCATCATCTCGATTGCTTCCCTTAGCAAATGTGAAAAGGAAAATGACTAAAACGTAAAGGAATATAAATTAGATAAAATATACAAATTCATAAATTTACAAGAGTAACATCAAATATTGGAATTAGCTTAAAATAAGCAGCTAAAACAACAAGAAAAATGGGAAAATGCAAACATGACAAGCATGAAAGAATTTCAAGAACAAAAAAACATTTTTATTCACTAGCTTTCTTTTTCCCATTCAAGTATACAGCCAATAAAAGTGAGAAAATAAGAGTATAATAAGCAGCTAAGAAGGTTAACCAAATGAAGTGAATTACTATGTTTCTAACCATCTGGTCTATAAATCTCCATACAATATGGTTCAACAGCTTCACAATCCTCCAGTTTTCTGAGATAAAAGTAAATGCCCAATATTGCTTTACGTCCTGTTAAATAATCATTTCTCATACATTCTAACTGAGTAATTATAACCCTCTACTCTTCTATAATTAAGGAGTACAATATAGTTAAAAATACCAACTTATTGCCATCATCATTTATCTTTAAGGAGATAGAAGCATCATTTATTTCACAGGATATGGTCTACCGACATAAACATAGTGCATTATAGAAATGGCAATATGTTACTATTTAACTATTTAGAAATCAAAAGTACAGAAATCGAAGCATGAGCAAGTGATAGAACAAACAATATTGGAATCATTTGTTTGCAATTTCAGGGACAAAGAATGTAGAAAGAATAAATACGATCACTTTGACAACTAATTGTAAACTTACAAGGCCAAAATCTGAAGCACTAATGTTTCGTGATCAAGCTTCTGTAAAGAATAGTCTGTCAAAATTTTATGTCGATCAAAAAAATATGAGAATTTAAATCATCGTTAGTCGCTTGATTGTAAAATATTTGAAAGGAAATCATTTTCAATTGCTCAAGTGCCTCAAGGGAGCTGAATGCACAGTAACAAGCAAAACCTAAGATAACTTAAAAAATCATAGATAACATTTTCCAGCTATAATACAAATTCTTCAATCAAATCAAGGACATCGTCTACATCATACAAGTCTAATGACTCTAAACAATCAAGAGGGGTCAAATAGTAATATTGAAGTACTCATCGAAAAATTGGTAGTCGTAGTATAGCCCCAGTATTTCAATGTTGCTAAATCATAAGCTAAGCATCCTTTTCTTCCTTGTCATATCTTCCTACATGATTTTACTCAAGATAATTGAAAGTTACTTCGAATTTAATAAAAGAATAGTACTATTATCATTTTCAATGGAAAAATATACAAATAATGGAAATAGTAAGGAAATAAAAAGGATTACATTATCAAATGTACTCGTCGTTTTACAGATGAATATAGTACCATCGAGGTCATTCTTGCCTTTCGATTTATAGAATGTAAGCATTTTTACCCATTTAGAAGGAGAAACAAATAACATAGGATTGAAGACACATAAAATTAATAAGATTTACACATTATTAATCCCAATACGAACATTGTGAAGGGCAAGAAATACTCAAAAAGAGATCCAACAGCAAAGAATGTGTCAACCTGACATTGAGCACCGTCTAAAGCAAATGAGCATCGATTCTTGCATAAAATGCAAGGGAAATGAAAGGATTGTAGAAAGTACAAACTATATATTTAGCCTTTGCTTGGTTCTCATTATTTTCAAAATTAAATTTTCTCTATCTTATTTTTAGCTACACATTTTTAATAAAATAATATTACATGAAAATTCAAAAAAAAAAATTTGGTACTATTAGAGATAGGATTAATAGGTCCACATATATCTGAATGAACTAGTTGAAGGATATATGAGGACTTCCAAGCGCTGTTTTAAAGAAATGTATCACAGTGTTGCTTTCCAATCACACATTCTTCCCATATTTTTGAGAGAGCTTGCATCCTTGGTAATCCAATAATCATTTGCTGCTATTGTAAAGTTTTCAAATCATTGAAACTTAAATTTCCACACCTATAATGCTATATCCAGCTTGCATCCTCCAGAGGGGTAGATTATTTCTAATGGAAACATGCTATTTGGAGCCATCTCAACTTGTATCATTAAACCATTCTCATGATGATGAATTTGATGCACATGTCTCTGAATAAGAATAGCAAATCTCTTTTCTTGTAATTGATCGAGTCTGATAAGATTGCTCTTCAATTCAAGTACATAGAAAACTCCAAAACTGTAGTGCTACACTCTATTTACTTCAATGTTGATGTCTCATTTCCTCTTGATACATAGGCTATAGTTGTTTTCCAGTCTCACATCATCTCTGAAGTTTCATCAAGTTGTACACAAAAGCTTCTTGTCTCCTCTTGTGTTGTTACTGCATCCAGAATTAAGATATCACAAGTAATATTTCTTCATTTTGAGGGCACTCATATTGAAAATGCCCCTAATTCATGGCAACTGTAACATTCAACAATAAACTTATCAAATGATCCATGCTTCTCTATTTATCTTCCTCTTCCCCGACTTCTATAGCTTCCATAACATTTTTCTCTCCTAGGTAAGTTACTTTCTTGAACAATTACCATGCTAGATCCATGTGAATCACTAAAGTATAAAACATTGAGTTTTGGCTACTGAATTTTGAAAAATGTTATACGTTACTCACTATCATAACTTTCGTCTCAAACCTCTAACGAAATTGGTAACATGGCTGATGGAATGCACATGTGGTGTCTGTCACACTGTTAAACTTTGAGATGGTCAAAGTTTAGTAAGCAATAAAAAATATTTTTCAAAATTTAATGAACAAAATTCGATCATTTCAAAGTTTAGGCGCCACGTATACATTTGGTCGGTCACTTCACTAATTCCATTAGAGGATTGAGACAAAAGTTATGCTGATAAGTAACATACAACATTTTTCAAAGTTTAGTGGTCAAAACTCGATATTTTAAACTTTAGTGAGCAATCGAAGACATAAACCTAAATTCAATTATCAAAACTCAACATTTTAAACTTTAATGAGCAATTGAAGACGTGGACATAAGTTTAGTGACTATTTGAACAATTAACTCCTTAAAAAACAATCCAAGTTTAGAACTATTTTGGCAGCTTTACTTATGAAGGGAGACAAGTTGATCTTACTTGATAGATATGTAAAGAGAGATGAGCGGTAGCCCTCTCACAATCAAGATTTTTTTTTATCAATTTCGCATATTGACAAACTGTCAATGTTAAACTATCTCACATCGATCGACACCTGTTTCTCTTT